CATTGTCTTGATGAAAAATGATTGTGCTGAAAACCAGGTCTTTTCTCACAAATTTTTTCATCCAGCTGATCCAAAAGACTGCAATAATATTCAGAGTTGATTGTTTTGTCTTTCTGCAGATAATCAATCAACAAAATTAATTGTGCATCCCAAACAACTAATGCTACAAGGTGCAATTCAAAAGTTTCAGGACTTTTATTAAAAAACGAATATTATTTGTGTTTTTTTTTTTTGAAAAATTTATTGGTCGCCTTCAAAATAATCTCTTTTCGTCTGAATACAACGTTTTGCGCGTTCAAAAAGATTATAGAATGACTTTTTTAGGTCATTTGTCGGTATAGCGTTGAGGATGGCATCAACGTCAGCATAGCGGTTTCCTTTCATGGCCAAATGTAGTTTTCCGAACAAATAAAAATCGCAAGGTGCCATATCAGGTGAATACGGGTAGTGGTTGATTGTTAAAATGTGATTTTTGGTCAAATAATCGGCTGCATGCGTCGATCGATAAGACGGCGCATTATCGCGATATTCGGGCCGAACACGTCGAATACGGCGCATCAACCGCTTCAAAACTCCAAAGAAGAATACCGCATTAACGTTTTGGCCGGGTGGAACAAATTATTTGTGGAAAATACCCTTGGAATCATAAAAACAAATCAGCATTGTCTTCACTTTTGACTTCTCCAGGCGCGATTTTTTGGGTTTCGGCTCATTTCTCATTTATTTCCTCACGACCACTTTGAAAACGTTGAAACCACTCATGCACTCTGCTACGGGATAGGCAATCATCGCCATAAACTTTTTTCATCAATTGAAACGTTTCGGTTAAAGTTTTACCAATTTTAAAACAAAATTTAATGTTGGCTCTTTGTTCGAAGCTCATTTTCCGACCGACACTACAAATGTAATGTCACATGTAGCGCGATATCTCAGCTGTTATATAAATTTTATACGACAACACTGAAGAAAACACAATTGAGGGATAACAATTTCAGACAGATGGCGCAACTAGCAGCCGCGTTGTTTAAAAAGTCCTGGAACTTTTGAATTGTACCTTGTATAACCATCTTTGCTGATCGTTATGACTTCACCTGCTTTGGAGCTGAACAACCAGCTTCAGTCCACTGTCAACGTTCTTGTTTCAATTTATGATCATGGTGGTAGATCCAAGACCTTCATCCATAGTTATAAAATGACGCAAGAAATCGATTTTATTCTGCTTAAAACGCTCCAAATTATGCTGAGAAATTGTTTTCGATTCAGTTTTTGTTGAATTGTTAACGTGTGCGGCACTAACTTTTCAAACAGCTTTTTCTGAAAAATACTCAATGTAGAATATGAAGTACTAATTCGTCTGAGATACCTTTGGCATTAGCAATTTCACGCTTAGTCAAACTTGTGTCTTCACTAACAATATTATGAACTTGCTCAATGATTTCTGGTGCGGTTGCGGTTTTTGGTCGTCCTTCGCGTGGACCGTCTTCAAGCCAAGTACGACCGCGTTTAAATTCGCCAGCCCAAAATTCAACACTGCATTCTTAAAGTGAGGACTCCTTATACACTAACAATTGTTCATAAATTTCCTATACTTTTAAACCTTTCAAAACAAAGAACTTAAACACTGCGCAATATTAAATGTTTTCCATATTGAAAAAATACGCTGACACATCAACTTCAAATGGCTTGTAAACAAAGAATTAATTGACAGAATGACTTGTAACTTTGTATGCGTTCTCACAACAAATGTACCAACTTGAGAAAAACAAAAATTGGAGCTAGTAGTGCTATTTCTTGTTGAGAGCGGAAACTTTTCAACCAACCTCTGTATTGCCATTGTTTCGTGCAGCAACAACAAATCTCTATCAAATTCTTCGTTGAGTTTGTTTTGTTCGAGGATTCGTTATGCGGTACTGAGCAATGACTGCTATGTGTTTACCTATCTTTTCGTCCAATATTAAATGCAGAGATGCGTCGTAATGAGAACATAACACATTCTCTAATTCTCCCCCCGAACTTCTTAGTGGTTACTAGCCCAAATAAGGCAGGTAAATAATAACGGCATCGATGCCTTCCAACGGAAAACATTCCTTTGGTTATTTACCAGTATATTATGCTATACTTCCTCATTTACTGACAGAGCAAACGCAGTACTTTCTCAAGTATGCAAAACTTTTCGTGTCATGGTCAGTTGTGTTGTTGCCGCAATGGTGCATTGTTTATTCATTCAAAGAAGCATAAATTTTTAATAAAGTAATATTACGCGAAAAAGTGCCAGAATATTTTAATTTACGAAACGCTGATGAGTTCCCCACCCGCACATGCTGTCGCAGCTAACGCACCACCGCTATCAGCATTGAAAGGAGCAGCTCTGCTGAAAACATCGAAT